GGTCTTGTCGACCATAAAATGATACCGTATGCGTCACATACGTTAGTCACATGTTCTACTATACTTACACAGTAGATAGCTGAGTATAACCCCAGGAATGTAGCTTCCCAAGATCGTAAAAAATGTGCACACACTGCAGACCAGGAGACAAAACTAGAAATAACAGAAGTAACATGTGACCATTATGCATAACACCAAGACGTTTCAGAGCACAGGATACACACACAATTTCTCATCTATATTTGATCTATCATGTTATGACAAATGTTTTTCAAACAGTGTTCTTTTGCACTTAAATCTGATTAATGACTGCTGTTTGATCTTAGCCACTTTAACATTCAGTAATAACCATTTCTAGGTTACTGAAGCTGATCTCTGGCACGAAGAATAACGTCTCCCATTAATCACGCCTGCAGCTGTATCACGGACAGTGCAAGAGGCTGGAAGAGTAGTGTGTGCCCAGAAACTTCTTTTTCTCAGGATCACTCACTGAAAACAGTGCAGGCCAATAACGAAAGCTGCAAGTTCAAACTACTTCCGTAAGTCCATGAAAGTTCATAAACACAGCAAAACATGTTATAGAAATTAGAGGTATTTACATAAACACAATATTAGTTTGCACAGCTGACAAGCGGCTGGGATAAATCTACTGGCCATGACTATCCTCCTTCTAACCACATCCATTCCCTCAAGTTGACCCCACTTCTAGGTCGCCTAGAAGCCAATGGCGAATGAAATCAAATTGCTACAGTGAAATTTGATTATGTTCTTTCTCTCTGTCAGTTACAGCCAAAAGAATCTTGGTTGTTTTAAGAAATTTAAATATCAAGGCAGAAAAATCCTCCCATAAAATCTATTTCTTTTCCACACTCTATTCTTAAAAATAAATTATCTTACTTCTTTGCGTTATCTTTAAATTATGGCACTAAATTTAACTGATAAAGAAAATTCATTAAGGGAATTTCAAAACCAGTGGGGAGGGCATAACTCAAGTGGTAGAGCACATGCTTAGCACGTAGGAGGTCTTGGGTTCAGTCCCCAGTACCTCCTCCAAAAATAAGTAAACTTAATTACGCCCCCCAAATGAAAACCTAAGAAAAAAAGGGAATTTTGAAACCACACACGAGGAAAGGAGACCTAAATCTCTGATCAATGATTGATTACAAGAACCCTCGGGGGGGAGTCTAAAATTCAGATTAATTTTAATTTTTCATTCTTCGGCACAGGATTAATAAATTCACTAGCAAAAAGGAAAAT